AGGACCACCTCTGGTGGTGAACAGGTTTCAATGGTGCTTCCAAATTAAGACAAACTAGAAAGATGGAGAGACAGACTAATTCTGAATGTTTAGTCACTGAAAACCTTATGAACAACCAAAGAACATTATCAGATATAGTGCTGGAAGATTAAAACATTAGGAATAGCATCCGAATATTGTCAGATATAGTGCCAGAAGATAAACTCTTCAGATTGGGAAGTACTCAAAGGACACTGGAGAAAAACTCTCTCCTCATAGTAGAACGGACCATGATGGTGTGACTGGAGTAAAACTTTTGGGACATTCATTTGCTGATGAGGAACAATATAAATTGAGGAGAAACAGCTGCAAATGTATATTTATAATCAGAATATGGAATGTACAAAATATAAATCTAGGAAAACTGGAAATTGTCAAAAACAAAACGGAACGTATAGGTACTGGTCTTCTAGGCATTAGGACTGTTGTTGGCCATTTTGAATCTGACAATCATATAGTTTACTATATCAGGAATCACAAATTCAAGAGTAATGGCATAGCATCCCACATTCAAAAGAACAGTTTAAAATCTATCTTGAAGTACATGCTGTCTGTTATAGAATTATATCTACATGCCTACAAGGAAGAAGAGTTAATACCACTATTATTCAACTTTATTCACCAACCACTAGAGCTAGCGAATATGAAATTGAAGAATTCTACCAACATCTTCAGTCCAGAATTGGCCAAATGTTACAATTAGGATGTATTGATAACTACTGGTGTTTGGAATGCAAAGGTTGGAAACAAAGAAAAGGATCAGTCACTGGAAAATATTACCTTGGAGATGGAAATGATGCCAGAGAAAACATGAGCGAATTTTGTAAGACCAATGATTTATTCATTGCAAATACCTTTTTTAAATAACTGAAAAGGTGACTATACACATGGATCTCATGAGATGGAATACATAGAAATCAAATTGACTACATCTGTGGGAAGACACAAGAGTGATGCTCAGTAATATCAGCCAAAACAAGGCAAGGTAATATCAGCCCAAACAGACCACCTATTGTTCATATGCAAGTTCAGATTGAAACTGAATAAAATTAACACAAGTCTATAAGAAACAAAATATGACATTGAAAATATCCCATTTGACATTTAGAGACCATCTTTAGAACAGATTTGATGCTTTAGAAACTAATGACAAAAGACCAGAAGAAATATAGAATGACATCAAGATCGTCATACAAGAGGAAAGCAAAAGGTCATTAAAAAGACCAAAATGAATATCAGAAGAGACTCTTGCTGGCAAGCATAGAGATAGTAAAGCAAATGGAAGAAATGATGAAGTAAAAGAATTAAACAGAAAAATTTCAAGGGCAGCTCAAGATGACAAAGTAAAGTATTATAATGAAATGTACAAAGATCTGGAGATAGAAAACCCAAAGGGAAGAGCACATTCAGCATTTCTCAAGCTGAAAGAACTGAGGAAAAATTCAAGCATTGACTTGTAGTATTAAAGAATTCTATGGGCAAAATACTGAATGATACAGAAAAGTTAAAAGAGGATGGAAGGAATACATAGAGCTACTGTATCAAAAAGAAATGGACGATATTCAATCATTTCAGGTGATAGCAAATGATCAAGATCTAATGGTAAGGAAGGAAGAAGTCCAAGGTACACTAAACGTGTTGACAAAGAACAGACTCCAGGAATTGATGTATACAACAAACTGATGTGGCCTTGGAAGCACTCACTAATCTATATCAAGAAATTTGGAAGACAATTACCTGGTCAACTGATCAGGAGAGATTCGTATTTGTGCCAATTCCTAAGAGGGGTGATGCTACAGAATGTGGAAATCATCAGACAATCTTGTTAATATCACAAGCAAGTAAAATTTTCTAAAGATAATCCAAAATACACTACAATAGTGCATTGACAGAGATTGACATAGGTTCAAGAAGAATTTAGAAAAGGATGTAGAACAAGGGGTATCACTGCTGACATCAGATGGATGTTGGTTGAAAGCAGAGAATACCCGAAAGATGTTTACCTATGTTTTAATGACTATGCAAAGAGTTTTGACTGTATTGATCAAGACAAGCTATGAACAACAATGCAGAGATGAATATTCCAGAACACTTAATTATGCTCATGAGGAACCTGGACCTGGACCAAGAGGCAGTCATTTGAACAGAACAAGGGGACACTGCATGGTTTAAAATTAGGAAAGTGGTTGTATTCTTTCACTGTACTTATCAATCTGTACACTTAGCAAATAATCCGAGAACTTGATTATATGAAAAAGAACATGGCATCAGGATTGGAAAAACTCTCATTAACAGCCTGTGATATGCA